AGCCGGCTCTTGGTTCCCCAGAGCTTCGGAAAGTCCCGGGTCATCTTTTCCAAAAGTCGTTCTGCCTTGGAGAGGAAATTGCGTATCACTCGGTTTGTTGATCTTGATTACCCGCAGGATTGATGCAGTACCATTGGATTCATTTTCAATAAGATCCTTCGTAGGTACAACCATGAATTCTTTTCTCCACATGAATTCGGGGTGAATGGCATAGCCAAGGAATAAACCAGGGCTCGATGTTGGGTCGAAACGAAGTCCCTCTTTATTCTTCTTTCTCGGACCATTCCAATAGTCGACAAGACAACCAAAAGGAATGAGGGGACCATCAAATCTCGATCCAAAACGTAATTCCCATGGTGATTTGTCCCCCCCCGTTGCAATGACATTCTGCATGAAGCACCAATGTCGGGCAGCATGTGGCCAGTGCCAATGATTCAGACCTGCTTGGAGCAGATTGACACGAGTGCCTTCAAGAACTGACCGGACTGCTCTCTCAGCTTGGGCGTTGGACTTGGATATGTAGTCCCTACTTAAGACATGACGGCACTGAAGGATTTTCATTGCTGAGATTAACTCAGGTGCATTGTCACTGTAGAAGACTCCTATCTTATCTTCATGTCCAACAAAATGTTTAATCGCCAAGATAGCAGCATTGGTGGTTCGCCTGGCATTGGGGTAGACATACATAAATCCTGTAGCTATGTCCTTCACGACGAGTGCACTTTTCTCATCATCGATCCCCAACTCATCTTCATCTCTGGTGACGATAAAATCAGCAGTGATGTGGTCACCAAATTTCTCAGCTCTGACTTTGGTTGATCCGCCTACGGCTCTTGAGGGTGGCTTGAACATCTTAGCTCTGGTGCATATGTCACAAAATGGGTTCTTAGGGATGTGAGTCAGCATGTGTCGAATAGACTTGGCTTCTTCTTTTAAATCTTTTTCCCCTAGTGACCTTTTGTGAGCACCATCATCATGGACATTACTACTGCTACCCTTGGATCCTTCCACAGGCGGCTCAACCTCCCGGTTGGCATCAGGAACATCAACCTCCTCAGCCTCCAAGGGCTGGGGCTCCGGCAAATCAACATTGATACCCATGGGGTCATCACCAATGATTTCAATGTCCCCATCGGGCTCCGGAGATTGTTGAGCTTCATCTGATGCCGGGGTGGCAATGCTTGGTCTAGGCTGAGTTGATGGAGTGGAAATCGTCTTTGAATTATTTGCAAAGTAGGGTACGTAATCTCTGACAACTAACTCAATGCGTTCCCCATTTGGTTTGACCATGTACGGAGGTTCACCTTTGGAGCCTCTCCATATGAAGTCGTAACCATCATCAATGCATCTCATCCCGACTGAAATGACAGGAGGTGAGCTTCGAACAAGATATGGGTCAATGGTCTTGCCTAACTTTGGAACAAATACTTTTCCTTGTTTCGATGACGAACTTTCACCATTGGCAGTAATCATGCGAATGGGATTGTTGGAGTAGTATCCATAGTCATCTGGCAATTCGCTATCATTGACAAGATCTTGAGCACTCCCCGTATCTGCAATCCAGTCAAGTTCGAGGTTGATCGCTCCCTTCACGTCTTCTCTACATTCCGCAGGGGTGGCTTTGATTCCCTTTGGGATACATTCATTGCAACCAAAATCTGTGTCACATAAATAGGCACATTTGCATTCTATTCCCCGAAGACAATTGGAAACAGATCCTGCCAACATGGTACCGGTCAAAGCGGCATCATTCACAGCAAGTTGATCAACTTCAAACTGATGTCCCCATGGAAAGGTAACCTTATCCTTGGTGACTGCGTTTCCAATTGGCCTCAAGTTCCCTCGGACTTTAACATGAGATACGTCCGGCGAATCATCAAAACGAATCGATGGACAAAATACTCTTGGTTGAGGGATACAAAATGCCTGAGACACGGATGCAAGCATGGATGCAACAAGACAAACTGCGGCAGGAGACGGCTTAGATGAACTGGCCCCGGATCCTTTAGACTTCGGGGACTTCGGGCTCTTGGGGCTCTTAGAGCGGCTAGAGCTTCGGGATCCCTTCCTTTTCGGGTTCTTGGGATTCTTCTTTTTATTTTTGTTTTCGCTACTGGCCGAACGGGCAGGAGTAGCTTGTCTTGGTTTTCCCACTGAACCCTCATGAAGGAATTTGCAATCAGCTCCTCTATCGCAACGTCCCTGTTTCCAAAATTTGCAAATCTTCTTACCTTTCCCCTTTGGTCTGGGAGAACCAGAACGTTCATTTGAGCGACCTCTGGTTTTGCTGGGTTTGCGACTTCTGTCACGTGGCTTGGGGACTTCATGCTTGTAAGTACAGTTGTCCTTGCTACAGCCTCCCTTATTCCATGCCACACAATACCCATTGGGAATGAATCCTGTCTTGCCCTCGACTGCAGGAGCGGAGGGACGACCGGAACCCGAAAGACCTTTGGCAACTCGATCACGATTTGCCTCCAACCTCTCACGGTCAAGGTGGCGTCGCACGGCAGAAACAAGGAAACTGTAGTTCCGTTTTTCGGTTCCTTCATCAGCTCTATGGTACTCATTCATGTCATGTTGGATGGCCTTACAATTCTTCACTTGTTTGTAGAAGAGTGTTTCCAATACACTTTCGTCAGGAGCCTGGACAATACCAGCCAACTTTTGATCCCAGTTTGAAATGAAAGACTTCAAATTCTCCCCACGCAATTGGACACTGAACAAATCTTGAAGGGCATAGGTTGCTCCGTGCTTGATGTTTGTACTGAAGTGGTCATGCAACATGAACAACACTTGTCTCCCTCTTACAATTCGTCCAGCGGTGGCTTCAGTCTCTTTGAAGGTATCAACCTTGCGGGCGAAGTCACCAGTGATAATATTGGTGAGTGCAGAAAGTAACTTTGCATCAAGTGTCGCAAACGGCGCAACCTTCCGGAGCGCTTCAAGGGTCTGTTCTTCTTTCCAAGAATCACTAATCCACTTGAAAGCACTATCGGGATCAGTTGATGCTGCTACAACTGCTTCTCTGGTCTTAATTCTCCAATTGCGATAGGTTTCTGCCAATGGGAATGCTGGAATCTTGATGGTGTCAGCTTCCTTGACTTTGGGTTTATCGTCATGCCTTTGGTCAACGTAACCACCAAGAAATTTGATCATTCTTCGCCTGAACTTTTCATCATCGTCATCATCGGGATCATCATAACCGTCATCACCACCGTCGGGGGGGTTTGGATCATTCCTTTTCTTTTTGGGAATCTTACGACCCTTATTTCCCTCCGGCTTGTCATCAGGTGGTGAGGGTGGTCCACCTCCCCCGTTCCCTCCGTTGCCATCTCCTCCATCCCCAGGATCGTCACCATCTGGCAGATCGTCTTCCCCCGGCTCGAAGTAGTCCACTTCATCTGGGCCTAGCTCGGTCGGGGCATATTGATTTGTCGGCGCAGGGGAATTGACGTTATCCATGGGATGGTTATCTCGGCGTCGATTATTGGCCTCTCCTCCCGAAGGGCGTTCCTCAGCGGAAGACCTTGCAACATCCGACTCCTTCTTCACTTGAACTGGGACTCGATATGATGGATCATGATAAATAATCTCAATACCATCCTTTTCATAAGTTTCAGTACCAGGTGAAGTAAAGCTAATCGGTGCTCTTGGAATAGGAGGTCGGGCAACACTCGTCGGAGGCGCTGTAGGTGCAGCTTTGCGGGTTGGTGGAACAAACTCAAAATTTGGGATCTCCGTTGGTGCATGAGTTCCGGCTGTGATGGTCATGGCGGCAGTTTCAACAATCGGACTTGGACGGACCTGAGCAAATTGGGAATCGAGCATACTTTGCAGTTTCAGATTGTGTTGCATCTGGGCTTGTACCATGTGTTCAAGCTGGGTAATGCGCTCATTCTGAACCCTTCTCTCTTCCTCAGCTGCTCTTCTCAACTCAAGGATCTCTTGCTCCTTACTTGATAGTGATTGTCGATGGTTAGCATCAATGACACGTTGATATGCCTGAATTTTCTCATTCATCTGAGCCTCACGGAACCTTACATGTTCATGCGCCTCATGCTGTAAGTTCTCTTTATATTGAGCACCCGCATTTAAAAGTTCTTGTTCTTTGATTCTGATAGCATCAAGGGCCCTCTGACTTTCAATGCCCTCGCGGACTCGCAGAGCTTCCTTCAACTCCTCAGTCTTGGCTGTGTGGACGGCTTCGGCCTGAGCTTCGGTGTGAGCCAACACCTCACGATGACGGAGCTCGGCCGCTGTTTCCACAAGGCTTGTCATTGCAGGATCATGTGAATGTACATGCAATTTCTGCTCGACGAAATTGACTTGAGGATTATCCATCTGCACATTGTGATGGAATGTATTGTGAACATTCATATGGTTCAACTGGCGAGTCGGCGGCCCACCCTCCCGAGCGGCTTGGGGAACACAACCACGGTGGTTGAAACCCACATGGGAAGGCACAATTGCGTTACCCATGGGTGGGAAGTGGCGGCGTTCCCTTAGGCTTCGTGACTTATCGGAAGATGGTGGGGTGCTTATATCAAAATTAAATGGGGTGTTACTTATAGGCAAGTTACCGGGGTTGGCCATGGCGGCGTCAGAGGACATGCGCCCGGTGCCCTCGGTGGAAGAACCCGAGGGGGCAGACATTGCCTACAAAAGAGAAGTTAGCTTACGGCTGATAACCTGTTTTACAGGTGAATCAACCTGAAAGCACCAGCTAGCGCAATTGTTTTCTTGAGCCAATGCAACACGGTAGGATGAGTGATACATTAGTATATACAGTGAAACTACCCAAAAACATAATCATCAACCAACAGGCAACAATATCATGACGTTAACAAAATCATGAAGCAACTAATAATAATGATAAAATTCAAATTCATCACACTAAAAAACCATGTAGCCATTTTTTGTATGTCCCATTTTTATCAATCTCCCCATACTCCAACCATACTCCAACCATACTCCAACTACCATCCGAAACTCATCTCCTGCAACGCGACTTCGTCGCCGTTCACCTCCACCGAGAGCCCCTCAGTGTGGGTCGTGTTCTTCTCGCGAAAGGCAGCCGGAGAAGACGTGGAGATGAAGGCCTCGAATCGTTGGGATTAGCGAAGCGGCGTAAAAAAAGCCATGGTAGGAACATCCAAAAGGTATGGAAAATCTATGGTATAGCCATGGAAAATTCACCATTTTTATCCATTTTTAATAGGTAAACCATCTATAAATGGACCATTTTCCATGGCTATGTTAGTCATAACCAGAGGGTAAACAAAAATGCTGGGGTTTACCCATCGAACTGTTAGTTTACAAAAGGGTAGCTTATAAAAATGGATGATATATGGGTGATATTTGCCATAGCAAACTGTGAAATGCAAAGGAAAAAGTGTCACTCGGAATTGTTCTATGTGGTGATCCCCAAACCCTGGTTGCAATTATCTTTGTCTAAATAATCTGAAGCGGTTCTGTCCACTTTTACAGGGATTCACTGGAGATCTTCCAGATGTTCTTGGAATGGATGCAGTCCTGTAACAGTGGTCTTAGCTTTTAGGATTCAATTTTTGTTCTGATTGGCTTTAAACCTTACCAAATTGTGTTGCTGGGGTCCTAATCTGCATCCATCAACCCAAGCAGATTAGGTTTCATTCAGCTCTTCCTTCAGCTGGAAGTTGGCACATATGTACATATACATACACATATAATATATAACATTATATATATATACATACATGAATAAGATTGCAGGACCCGGGTCCTCAGTTGTTATGGGTGTTCATCTCCTCATTCCCATGGTTTCAAGTATTGAGCTATCACCTATCGAGGCCAGCATAGGCCTATGGGGATCATTCCCCTATGATTCCAGGCTTCGATCGATTGAACCAAGGATCTCTCACCATCAGTTGAAAGTTGCCTGACAATCCCATGTAGGCCTCAGAGTTGGTGGCTTCCACAAATAGATTCCCATCCAAAAAAAAAACGGGAACAAGAATAGAAAGAACTAGATTAGAAACCAGCAGGCGGTTTTGGACGTGTTTATCTGTGATTTATCAGTGTCTAAAACCCTATTTTGGTTTACCCTACTTAGTATTTTCAAACAAAGGCTGTCCATAGAGTATCAGCTGTTGGAGAGTTGCAGGTCCTGGTACAGAATTGGTTGGAGCCACAAATCGGTGGAAGATGGTCGAACCCCCAAAAAGGATCAAGAGGGTATGTCTGACAGTGGGGTATACCATGGTATACCAGAACAAAAGTGATAAACATGGCAGTTTTGAAAGGACAAATCGCGATTCACCAGCAAATGTGGAGGTTTCCCCATAGTCCGACAATTTGAGGTACACTGTAGACATACAATGGTTTCCTCTGGATCCAACCCTGTGGCATACACATCACATTCTCTCCTCTCTTCTTGACCGCCAAGCTACTTTCAAGGCCCACAGCCGGCGATTGTTCAAAGACCGCCAGACTCCTGCGCACCGATTAAGTGGCACTTCATGTTGCAAGACTAGCCTTTGGAGTCCTTTCCGTTTGTTTTCTTTTTATCTTTTTGTTCGGATTTCCCAGGGTCAAAGTGCCAAACATATCTTCTTTATGTAATTATATATGATATATATATATATGTATATATATATATATTTCTTTACATTCTTTACATTCTTTACATATATATATATATGCATACGTATAATTATATTCTTTACATATATAGTATTATAGTTATATAATATATAATATTCATTCATAATCTCTAACATTGTCCCAAAACAGCCAATTACCTGCAAGTTGGGGTCAATCTTCTATCTTTTTGGCTCCGGCTTGGCGGACCTTTGGATCTTTGGGATGTCCTCAAAAATGGGATGACACCATGCGCATTGTGGGGGAGATGTTTGGAATGGAGTGGGTACATAATGGCTGCTTGGTGGTATACCTACCCCTCTGAAAAAAAATCGTCAGTTGGGCTGATGACATTCCCAATGTATGGGAAAAATAAAACATGTTCCAAACCACCAACCAGATGGAATATATGAGCAACATTAAGCAACAGTATATGACTTTGGGTTTGTCCAATAGTACTGTAAGGGATGCCCGAATTTTATGGCCCTTTGGACAATGCAGGGAACATGACCCAACACCCAACTCGGGTGTCTTGGCTCAGCTTCTAGACCTGAAATTTCAGATCTCAGGATAAATGGAGGTTTCCTAACATGATTAAAATGGGGGCTACTCCTAAATCATCCATTTCAATAGCATGGTTTTAAACATTCATTAAAAGGGCTACACCCGTTGACGGAAACCCTCAACTGACTGTGACTGACCAACCCCCGTGCCTTTGTGAAAGTATATCTCTAAGGGCGGCAAATTGACCTGAGACGGGGCCCTCCACTTTGACTCACGCCCTCCACTGAATTTCAACCAGTACTTCGCTTTGGGTTTGGATTCCAAAAATCCCCATTGCAGGCAGGGGCACTTTGGAGTTTCAATGCGATTCCAAACCACCAAAGAATTGGCTAACACTTGGTGATCGCAACAAAAACAAACACATCCCTATCAAAGCAGGAGGATTCCAACCCCGGATATCTAAACATATCAACAAAATTCAGTATGTCACAATCTCTAGAACCTCAAGATCTGGGATAAAGTATCTGGGGGGATGGAGCCAGATTAGTATCCATATGTTGCCTTCTTGACCTTCTTCTTGACCTTTCTGCATTGCTGATTCCGTGCTCAAAGTTGAAATATGGGTATGGATCAATACCTATTAATACCATTTTTAGTGGGATGAACATCCATAAATCCCAGCTATTTTGATGTGAACTACAGGGGTACAAGGTTTTGACACACTGCCATATCCATCGAATTCCTCCAGCAAACATGGCGTTCGGGACGTCCCCCAGGTCTAGATGACCCAGTTTTGATGTTTCCACCAAGCCGCAGCGGGGTTCACAACGCCTCGAAACAGGTCATTGACGAGTTCGTAGAGCGGTTGGCCACGGTGTTTCCCCTTGCGGAAGATTGGCCGGATCTTATCGTGCGTAAACCTGGGCGGTTTACATGGCGAAATGATCCCCATGGGCCAATGAAATGTTGAGAAACCCATGGGAAAAACAACAACAGATTTAAACATAAAAAAAAACACGTCAGTAACCAATTAAACATGTCTTAATGTCAAAATTTAAATCATGTTGTTGATTTGTTCAGCAACCAATCAACAAAAATCACATGGCATTAAGACATCATGTTCAACAAATCCAGGGATTGAAGGATGAAACAAACAAACGGTCTCAAAATCATTGGCTACCAGCCTGATATCTCATGATGGGACATGCATCACTGCCCATGTTGAAGTGTATATATATATATATCACACAACATATAAGAATATATATATATAATATGTATCGTGTGGGATCCACAAGAACAAACAATTCAAGTATCAAATGTGAAAGGATGTGAAGTAATAAAAAATGCTAAGTTGGGGCATACTGTACATCCAATAATGAGGTACATTACAAGCTGGCGACTGTTTACTATCCCAAGAATCATCCCGAGACTGCCATTACCTCAGCAATCATCCTGATCGGAACAATATTACCTACAAACAACAAAAATAATCAACATCCGGATAATATCCGATACTGTCTGTAGTATTGCATGATTTTACCCATTTATAGACATGATACAGAGTACTGTTTGGGGACAAACACAGAATCATCCAGTCATTTCCCATTTTGTCCCGTAATGTCTATCGGTTTGTCACATTTTGTCACTAGATTACCCGACCCCCGAAATTTGATAGGCAAAAATTGCCACCTGGTGGTATCCGAAGCATTTTCAGACATGGATCCCCTCCGTATATTGTGAAAATTACTAATATATACTGGCATCGTGGATTCTCCCGAACTTCAGAGCCAGACACCTTAGTTGCATGACTGGCACCAGCACCATATCCCCAGGGGAAGCCATAGCTCCATGGTAAGGCCTCGGAAAATCAAGCTGCAGATGAATGGTTAAGCCCCAAGGATAGAAACATCAAATACTACAAGGTTCAATGGACGTGTTTACGGGAAATGTGGTTAATAGAAGCCCTAAAGAAATTGTTGCACTATAGAGGTGACACCTGCAACATCTATCTGCCTTGAACAAAAACTTGGATTAGTGGCTAAAATCTCAATTGAACAATGTGTTGTTGGTGTTGCTGTTGTTGCTGTTGTTGTTGTTGCTGTTGTTGCTGTTGTTGCTGTTGTTGCTGTTGTTGCTGTTGTTGCTGTTGTTGCTGTTGTTGCTGTTGTTGCTGTTGTTGCTGTTGTTGCTGTTGCTGCTGTTGGTGCTGTAGTTGCTGTAGTTGCTGTTGTTGCTGTTGCTGTTGCTGTTGCTGTTGCTGTTGCTGTTGTTGTTGTTGTTTTCAATTGGACACGTCCAGCATCATCATCATCATCATCATCATCATCACCCTCATCCTCGTTGTCGTTGTCGTCGTCAGCGTCGTCGTCGTCGTCGTTATCATCATCATCATCATCATCATCACTCATGGTACGGTCAAAAACAATGATACATTTGAAACCACTTACCACATTTCACAACCAAGCATAAAGCTGTCAAGCATAAATCTGTCAAACAAGCTAAACTAGGAAACATCAGAAAACATACATACATTTGATGTAATCCTGAATGGGATCGTTTACTATTACCGACCAGCCCCATCTTCCACCTTTTGTTGCCTGCATACATGTTCCGTCTTAGTTTTGAGGGAATAGAATATATATATATACACGTATATATATATATATACGAATTAATATATTCTATTCTATCATGTACGATTACACTAATCACAGCCATCATAGACATATCCCTGCCCAATCGGAGCAAGTGTTTTCAGGAACGCTTACGGCTGTGGCTGTGCCACAATGCTCTGCGTTACATTGATATGGGCGATATGGGAGATGGGTCTGGTTGTAGCACATCTTGGTCCCCTGAAGAAACAAACAGGTCCATTTGGAAAGAAACAAATCACCCACATATCCAAATTTCCGTTGTTTGAATGACAGGTCAAACATTTTGAATGACAAATATCCTCCACATATTTCCAATGTTCAGTTGTTTTTTTCATCCTCCAAATATCAAGGTGTCCTAAGTCATGGGGGTACCACCAATGACTTACGACCGTTTTAAGTATTGCTTCACCCATGGTGACTTGGGGATCTTCCAACCCCCAGCGGGCCCCAGCGGGCCCCAGCGGGCCCCAGCGTTTCTGCCATGCCACGCCATCGGAACCCAAGGTCTCATGGCAGCCATTGCCCCATGGCTGCGCCAAGCATCAACGTGCGTCTGCATCAATTAACACCTGAAAATTATCCCGGTCATTATCCCTATCAAAATGGTTCTTTGAATGGTACAATCTTTATTTTCAAACACATCCACTTGTTTTATCTCATGGTTTCTCATGGAAAGACCTGACATGACCCATTTTTTGCTGATTCAAGAAATTATGGTACTGTTTGTTTAAATGGCTCATCTCTCAGAATTGATCTGTCGAGCAATACTAGTTGTTTCAGATTTGAAGGCTAAGAACTACAAGTTTTCTGGAACATTCTCGTTCGAGGTAGCCGGTGAAAAACACTCCAATGATCATGGGACCAAATCCCATGTTTATTCCACCAGACTACCAACATAAACGTAGCAAAACGGCCAGTCCGAGTCCTAGGTGTTGCAGCGGATATTGCGAATCTACGGCCACAGGTGGAGTTCTCCTCGCCCAGATGTGGCTCAGCTGTCCCTAGTCTTGCCATAGTTCAACTTCAAAAGCTACCGAACCAAAACGATTACGGCGTGGCTCTCTGGTCCGAAAGAGTGACCCTAAAACAAAACCGAACTTGGGGTGTGAAGATCTAGTCTGCAGTCCCAAAAGAAGGCATTCCCCATGTATTCCATTTTGCGGCAACTTTATCATGGACCAAAAAAGAAAGTCTCAACTCAACCATGTGAGATGAATCCATTTGGGTCGGGGTCTTCCAACCCGGGCTTTTTCATGGACCCATCCGTTTTTGGGCTGGAGACTTGGCATAATTAATTAGTAGGGGCACGTTCCATGCAAAGGAACGTCATATGAATATATATGTGTTTATTGTGGATGAATCTACTTGCAACATCATACGAATCATATGGATACTTGGAGATATAATCATGATAAATGATAGATTGTGTGCAAATCATACTTGGAGATATAATGATTATAAATGATCATAAGTGATATATGTTGAGCTACATATATATATATATATATACAGTATATTATATACAGTGTGTATATGTATATGGTATATATGGAGGTTTCCTGAAATAGGGGTAACCCTAAATCATCCACTTTATTTTCGGATGTTCCCTCAACGTCCCTAAACCATCCAGCTATTGGGGTACCACCTGTCGGGATCCAGCCAGCGCTGCTCGTACGTGATCTGTGCGGGTGAGATCCATAAAAAGTTTGAAGATTTCTTGGGAAGAAATATGGACATATCTTTGGGCCATCTATACCATGGCTATGTTAGTCATAACCAAATGGTATATATATATATGGGTAAATTATAATATTTCACTAACCTGAATAGTTCGGCCATTTGGGGATGATTTCCCTATAAAAACCATGATTCCAGTGAGGGAGAACAGTGAGGTCGTTATAATTCACCAAGAAATATGGACATATTCATGGAAAATATGAACATATTCATAGGACATATGAACTATTTATATGGGACATACAAAATTTCATGGAAGTATGGAAACATGACCTATTTCTTGGGAATATTTAAGTCGTTATGGCAATTATGGTCATATACTATTGATGGAAAAGCAGTGATAGTCATACAAACTTTTATGACAATGTCTGAATATGTCTGGCAACATCAAACTATAGCTTGTGATTTTCACTCATTATGAGTCACTATGACTGAATTTGATATTTATAACTTATAACATCTTATAGCAGAATACAAAAAAGGGGGAACAAATCAACAATCTCATGCTTAGGAGGTTCTACCAACAAATTTACAACATATTCATGTGCACAGCAAATATTTCAGGCTGAACCAGCTCCAGAATTGGTAATTTCGTAATTTCGAGTTTCTTTTAATAGCGGGCATAAAGGAACATTGTGAAGCCAATAATAAATCATACCCAATTTCACCAGAAATAGATGAAATCAAAAATTCTATTGCAACATGTTGCAACCTTGCCACCGTTTAATTGGATCTTATTGTTGGGTTTCCTGCATTCTCACCCCCAGGCAGAGTCCAGTGTTGTCACTGCTTGCGCATCATGACTAAAAGAACTTGTCTGCACTGCGGACTCCTCAGTAAGCAGAAGGGAGGTTTTACTCTCGTATTTTGGGGCTATCACCTTCTGGTTGGTGGTTTCAATCCCTCTGAAAAATATTAGTCAGTTGGAATGATTATTGCCAATATATGGAAAAAACAAAACATGTTCTAAACCACCAACCAGCCTTCTATTACCCATGGTTTCCGGTGTAGATTTCTCCCAACAAACCAATCCATGTGGATACCCATACGCATCTCTGCCATAGACTGGATGCCGCCTGAAGACTTAAAATATCCTTATGGCTCCTACGTAAAATCCAACTAACATAGCAACGCACTGATTCTGGGCAGCTCTTCATATTCTTCTGATATCCATGGCATAACCCACCAAAAAACATCCTTGCCTACCAAACTCACCCCTGATATCGCCCAACCATCACAGCTATCCGACTATCCGCACTCCGTCACTGGCTCCGTCCACCTCCAGCTGTTTCAGTCGGAAACTGGCAGGGTCACCCCAACGCCTGGGCATGTTCACCGACTGCCATCAGAGTGAAAATATGGGGCAAATTGGGCATTTTTCAATAGGAAAACCACGAAAAAATAATATCTTTCAGGATCTTTCAGGATCATTTGGTTTCAGGCTGCACATTAGTTTGTTTTCAGAGAGCTCAAAAGCATTGACTCCGCTACAGTATGTGGCAAAATGCCCTGGTGCCATGTCAGAACGTGTCAGAACTGTCGTACTTCAACATGCGGCAAATCCAAGCAAACCAATTGGTATCAGCATGGCCCCTGGCAGTACTTCTGAAGATTGAATTCATTTTACCAGGTTTTACCATATTTTGCCGTTGTTCACCAACATCTTCAGATTTTTCTGGCCGTCCTGCCCCCCCCCCACCACTCTACACCCCTTGAGAATCCTCTGAGAGGCCCTCGTTAAATCCGTAAAACATGGTAAAATCCACTGTTTTCCTGGCTTTTCCCCATGTTTTCCTGGCTCTCTCTCGCCCGCCTGGCTACTGCCGGGATCTCCAGGCGTGCGCGCTGCGAAGCAGCCACAAGGTGCTCTGCGGAAACCTCGCCGGAAAGGGAAGAGAAAAATCGTTGATAGATAGACTGGTTGGTGGTTTCAACCCCTCTGAAAAATATTAGTCAGTTGAGATGATTATTCCCAATATATGGGAAAATAAACAATGTTCCAAACCACCAATCATTGATAGATAGATAATCCCAGTCAGTATCCCATGTTAAGTTGCTTACAGGGGGGTTGCCAGGGAGTCACCAACGTATGATAGTATGATCCCATTTGTAATCCCATTTATTGTACCATATTGTATAATCTAAAAAATGGGACCAGATAAATCATAGAATGATGTTATTAACTAATCGTTTAACTGTTAACTACAATTCTCTAGACAGATAAATGGAGGTTTCTCGAAATGTTGGTACTCCGAATCATCCAAGTTAGAGCATTTTAGTATTGAAAACCAATGACCCCTTTCAAGAAGCCCCCAACATGTGACCAAATAAATGATAATGTTTATATTCATCATTCAACTATCAATTTCTATAGTTGATAGAAGAAATTGTGCAAAATGATAGTATAATGATTCACAACTAGTCTATTAAACTGATAAATGGGTCCAACACACGTTTAATAGCTGATAGAAGTATAAAGGTGTTAATGGTAATATATCAATTGATAGTAGTTGATAGTGATAAATGAGTAATAGTAATGTGTTATCAACTGTCAACCAAATAATGAACCTAACGATGAACAGTTGCTAATAAATCAACTGTTGATAAGCAATTGGTTATAACGAGTCAAAGCTGTTCTCAAGCGTGAAAAGCAAGTAACAACTGCACATCATTGCAAAGTATACAATGTTTGGTTGAAGTTGAACACAAAGAGTACTAGACCCAAAATGAACCAAAACCCAATAATGTGGGTAAAACATGGTAAAACAATATAGTAAACCATCCCCCAAATCACAATTTTTTTGTGGTATGTTTACCATTCCCAAATGGGTGGTTTATGACTTATGACATTGTTTTACCCAGATTACAAAATCCCATAAGGGTCATTCGTTTTTTCTCCTCAGTGGCGTCTAGCGAGTCTAAGCTGCGGCAAGGCGTTCATCCATTTGTCCCAACCAAATGTGGTACCTTCACCAGAAACCTAGACAAATCATTCGCAAAACGGAAGTAAAGTCATAGTTTCTGGATATTTCTATGCTCTATCACAATGAAAACAGAACAAACAAAAGAGAAACACCCTCAGTTATCACATGTGTACATGCGTTTTCCGTTGTCATTGCCAGTCACTGCTTCAACAAAACAATTAGTAAATATATTACCATCTGGTTATTTAACATAGCCATGGAAGGGTCACCATTTCATAGGTAAACCATCTATGAATAGGCCATCTATATCATGGCTATGTTAAATAACCAGAGGGTACAGTAATACTTACACGATTGCTGATCCCCAGGATTCAACAATCCCGGACTCTTTTTCAGATTATCACCATCGGCTGACATGGCCAATTGGATGGTAATGAGCTAAATTGCCACTGGAATCCAACATGTTGAAATCAACTAAGGGTTGATGTGGGATGCGGAATCAGTGTGAAGGGATGTTTAAATCAGAAATTCGACAGGAGATAAGCAACACCATCGGATTGAACATCATTTATCAGAGATCTGCAGTCAACTGAAATCTTTTGATTGGGGGGCATATATTTCACTTGGTCAACCGATCAATAGATTACATAGAGTGGAAGGGTTACTTCGTCCTGGGTGTAAGAAGATCATCCGACTTGCTATATGTATCTGGACATGAATGAATTCTGGCTCGAGCATGGGATGGGTGAGTACTGATGGATGCTCAATCTTTTGCGCCTGAAACCATTATAGTGTTGGACATGGATTTAAAAAAAAAAACAAATGAGAACGTGGTCCAACAAAAAGATCGAACAGTGGATTCCTGCTATCTTGCTGATGACCCAACTTCCCACCCCTGCCCCAGGTCCTTGGCATTAAAAAATATATATATACGTCATGTTGATGGCAACCAATGTTGTTTGTGTTTTGTCATGGAGTTTTGTTGATCAACAAAAGTTATGTACATCTAGATATGACATTAATGTCATTATATTCGTAATTTAGCGATCCAAGATTTATATAGATCTATAAGTTAAACATGTTAAACATCTAAAATGACCCAATATTCATAATTTATAGATAAAATATATTTAATGACATTTATATATAATTTTATATAATTATATATATATATTATACGGTAACTACATTTAAATATACGGATTTTTTAATATACGAACAGGTATTTTAGACTACCTCCGGGAAGGTTTTCCTTGGCCCGCCCAGCCATTTAAACATACGGAATCCGATTCATTTAAACATACTGCAACTACATTTAAATATACGAACTGGTATTTCATACTACCTCCGGGGCCGCGCAGTCTGGCCCGCCCTTCACATATTTAAATATCGTTACCGTATATATATTTGACATGCCATTTCTCCAAGATTTTTCTGGGACTCCGTCGTCCCACCTCCTTGGTTATATCCTTCCGCATCTCGGGATCGTTCGCATCCCCAAACCAGGCTGAGACCTGGGGCGTTTTCCCCCGATTTTCCAATGGGATCATGGTGCAAACTCAGATGTTCCACTGGATCTTCAGCAGTTTCACGATTTTTTTTTATGGGATGTTCATACGAAACTTAAATAGTGCACTTGTAGATGCCAAAATCATGATTTTACTGAGATTTTCATAGGATTTTGATCTGGGGTTAGTTGGTTATTAATTGGTTCAAGGGTTTGTTCCGTCGTTTATCGTCTTTCGCTTCTGACCTTGGTCTATTTCAGTAAGGAACAACAAACACATCTCTTAGGAGTACTTGGACTCGGAAACTCGGAAAACTATGATCCATAAGTAACATAATTATGCAAGGTGTAGTATGAAGTGTTGAACTAGGTTGCAATTCCCATGTTGGATTCTGAGGTATTATGTCTAGCAAAGAAATTAGTGCTAGACCATTCAATCTTAAGTACAAGCAGTTAATGTACAAAATGAACCCATCAACCAACAGAGGTGAACTGGGTTTTGCTGGTGAACATGTCAAACCTGGAACCACTCATTACTGAGTCATTACTGGTGATAGAGCAACCTTCTCTTTAAATCATTTTGTTGTTAGATCTTATGGGGCGTTCCCATGTGTTTTGGCCATGCCCACCGATCCAAATCATTCAGTTGTTGGGGCTCAACTTAAAAACATTGCTTGCTTGTGTGGAGTACTACGCCGTCCATGTGACGTCTTTTCTGGGATGAAAAACGTTGACCCTTGCAGAGTCCAACGGGAATATCCCATCTAAAGGATACACAGGTCCTGTCTATCTTTCCGCGAATCGCCTCTATATTCTATTGAAGTTTCTTCCATGCCATGGTTTACGATATCCTCACAATAAGTCAATAACATCTAGGGTTGGTGAGACAATAAACATATATGGGTATAAACATGTCCTCAAACATGGTTTATATAGATATTGATATATATATATATATATATTAAGTATCATCAACATCAACAACATTGTATAAAACACACTTTTCCAGTTTTTCTTTCGACATCGCAATCACAACTTGGGATAGCAAAAAAACAGTTCCCATCCAACGACAGAACGACGCTGGGGACTCGACCACACGAAGCTGCCCCAGAGGAACCAACGAGACTCCCGCGCCCAGGAAATCTTCCTGCCATGAAAATATTTAATGAGCATTGCCCAGGAAAAGGTCGGTTAACTAGCGTTAAATAAATAAGTCAGTTAATAGTGTACACGATTATTACGTATATTATAGTATAGTATTTGTAGTTAAGTGGGTTAATAAACAAACTTATGGCTATTGATATATCTATTGCATTCTATTAATATAATATCTATACATATTATATTATATTAATATAATATATTATATATATACGTATATCTATTTTTGATATTTATTGATCCAAATCAGGCTTGCTCCCAAAACCCCAGATGCAAGGAGAGGAAAGTGGCTAAGTATAGAGCTAAAGTCAACAATCTCCCCCACGTGTGGTAATCATTCAGCATTGTCCTGTGAAAGAATGGTGGATTTACCCTCTGGTAAACTAACATAACTATGGAAAATCACCATTTTTCATGGGTAAATCCACTATAAATGGCCATTTTCAATGGCTATGTTAGTTTACCAGAGGGTAACCAACAACATGGGTTTAACTTAACTCACATTCCCAGAAGGTGACGACAAAGTGGTACTGTCTCCAAGTGGGGCGATAGCGCACAATTATCCATACTTGCAATCTCACTGGGCAAAAATGTTATAAACAAACATCCCCTTGTGAATTAAGTGAAAGTGTTGGTGTGAGCGATTTTATAGTGATAAACCTGGAGACATTGACCCTCTTTTTAAAAATGCATCTATAGAATCAGAGACGCCAGGGTATTTTCAAATTGTCAATCTCTATATATATAGAATTGCCGTCACTGAGGTTGTTTATGAGCATCATTTTCTATAGAATAGCTGACACCAAGTCACTCTCGTAAAGCCTTTTTTAGGTTGGGGGGGTTAGTTGGCCTTCTATAAAATCAGATTCCCCAAGTCTCATTCATTGACAGCTGACCTGAATACTCCAGCTGCTCAACCTGTTTTCAACATGAAATCTCTGAATCGCTGACACCGGTTGGTCCTCTATTAAAAAGGCAAACGTTGACACTGGCTAGGTAGCCCCAAAAACAAAGGAGGGCCCTAAAACGCACCATGTTCCCAAGCTTAACTGTTGCGATTTTGAGACAAATAGAAATTTTAGGTTCCGATTCCACAGCGGTTCCTGCAGCGTTGAGAAAACCTATCTGCCTGTGGTGGTTAACAGTGATTATCATTGCTTAATTAGTCACAATTGATCCCAAAAAAAGTGAATTGGCAATCACAATTCTTGCGTCACAGCTCTGGTTGTTTCATCTTTTTTAATGCAATATAGTGCAATATTCAACCGTCATTTGTTTTGATATTCGTGGGGTAAAAAAGAGTGGGCCATACCAAAACGTAAAATCCCATGGAAGATTGCCCGACCATTGGATGCCTCCAACAGCCTTACGAGCCTTACGGGTAGTTCGACCAAAATCTTTAAGTTTTCCCCCTCAAAAGTCACACCCATCTGAAACCCACTTCATCCATCATAATTAATCTCATCTTTTCACTCAAGACTTACCCCAAATGTAGCTCTCATTTCAAATCCAATGGTTGAGGGATGTTGAAAGCCCATTGAAAGCCCTATGTTCTCCATGTCTAATAAACTGTTTCGCGTGTACCCTGTTTCTGGTTTTGTTAAAAACAAAAAACAAACATGGGCAAAACGGGGCCTCATCGCAACAGTCGTCCGGGGGTAACCAAATAGATCCATACCTTGGCTAATTCGCATTGCGCAAAGGGATTTCTGTGATTGCTTCACTATGCGACAACGGTAAGTGACAGTGTTTCAAATTTGCGCACCTCACATCAACCTTCCAGGCATGGGTTCGACCACGAAAGGACGGATTGTTTGGGAGCACCCAAGGGAGGGTCCGCATCAGCTAGCATTGATCATCACTCACCAATTAAGCATGAGGAGCTACATATCACTTTGTTTTCATCACCCATACCGTAAGGACATCTGGGTGTGGGTCAAGTAATTGATGTACCAACGGAACATAACGGAACCAAAAAAAGGGGCACTATGTGTCTTAAACAAATTAGAAACATGGGGTCGTGGTAGTTTGGACACAGCCCATCTGGTCATAAGCCCAGGATGCAAGGATTTAAATCATATATGATTCAGTAAAGGAATCAATTATATAATTGATTTTATGCATAGGATACACGATTTTTTCTGCGGGACAACCCCAATTTATCCCATGGATTTAACATCATTTTCCCTCATTGGCCAGTTCAAAGGGGTTACACGAAACCCAGTTCCAGTTCCAACTCCAGGCTGCTCCCAGCAGCTGACTGTGCGCAAATCCACGCCTCAAACGGCGGGAACCGGGGAGACCATTCTGCGGAACCGGCCATTTTTGTTGGGTTTCTGAAAGTAACCAGCAAGTTCATGTAGGAAAATAGGGTTTATATAGGATTTTCCGCTTCCCAGGATGACCGATTTTTTGTAATTATTTCGGAAACTTCGGAAGTTTCACACACACAAAAAAAAAACATCTTTTTTGCTGCGCGTCAGTGTTCATGGGTTAAGGTGGCCGGCTGGGGACGGGGGGGTCGTCCCAGCGCGCGACTAAATTGTGTATTTGATCATCTAAATCTATCCAAATGTGAGTTGCACGATATCAAAATTTCACCAATTCCCAGGATCTGGGAAGGATCCTTAGAACATGCTGGATAAAAATCTGTCCAAGCTCATCAAAGGGAACGGTGAACAGTTTCAACCTGGACCAATGGGACCGTTTGACGTTTGAAATGAAGTGTCTTGGCAAGTTCACCAGCTCCAGAAATCATCCAAAGTTAGGTTTAATAAACAATCCAGAACATGAAACGTGCCTTGACTTTCATGACAAGTCCCCTAGTTTGGGAACCTCTATGAACATTATTAACTATTGACAGATCCCCTAGTGTGGGGAAGGCAAGTGATTGCCATCTGCTTTGTTGTCTGAGGGTCCAACCCACGTTTTCCGTCGGACTGGAGGACATTGCGCTTCAAAGCTCAACTCATTTTTCTCAACATCTGTGGATCTCATTTGGGGGTTTCCGTAAATGGGGGATCACCAATAGCTGGATGGTTTATAAGGGAAAATCCCATTAAAATGGATGATTTTGGGGGTAATTACCCCCATTTGAGGAAACCTCCATTTGTCTTTAGATTTTGCCAACACCAAAACATGTTTGGATTCACAAAAAGTCCTTTGCATGTGTCTGTCTGTACAATATCACTGTGTTATACTCCTGGGTAGCCTGAGCCATGGGGCGACTGGCATGGTGCGGCCTCCTGCTTCTGCACGTGGGCGGCAGCTTCGGGGTCCTCGCTGCTTTGGGGGGGGGCGGGGCCAGGGTCCCCGCCCTCCCCTTTAACAGTGAGGTCGAGACCGCTTGGCGGCCCCCCCGCCCACATTGGTCGGGGCAACTGCAGGCCATTGGCCGCCGGCAGCGACGCCACTTGACCAGATGCCTGAACCGGGCTTGGAGCCAGAAGCAAGGCCCTTCCTTGCGCCTGCAGGGCGGCCGGCATTGGTCTGGTTGGCCGTTGCGTGGCCAGCGCGTGGGGGAGGCACAACACCCAGGCCCACATGTGAGCGGTCTCCACCACGCGGCGGCGAGCAAGCACGCGTCTTCTGCCCTGTGGATGGATGCCCTGCTTCCAACCCCCGCACCGCTCGTGGATGGGGGTCCCATGCAGCCATGCGGCCCCACTTGGACGACCATGCCGCTGGAACCTTGCAGGGGGCGATCCCCGCGGCTTATTGTGCCGCCCACAGCTTGGACCACTGTCGGGTATGTGGCCTTCTGGTTGCCGCTCGATTTAATGGGGCCCACCCTCGGTGCCGGCCTGCAGCCCGGGACTCTGCAGCACCTGCTGCGGCGGCAGCAGCTGCTGGCAACGGTGGTGGCCCTGATATGGCCGCCCTTTTTCTGGCAGACATTCCGGTACTTCGGCACGTGCCCAAAGTCGCTCGCGCGTCGTGGGCCCAATGCCTTGCCCGAGCTCTGGCCGCAGTAGCGCACCACAACTCGGCAGAAGCCTGGTGGGACCTGCTCATGCTCCCGAAAGCCGTGCTTCGACCTGCACCACGTGGCGGGGCCCTACGGCGACAGCAGGCAGGGCAATTCACTCTTCGGCGGTGTGGGCGGTGGCTGGGCGGTGAGCGTGAAGAGCTCTTGGAGGCCCATGCCCGCCCACGCGGCCGGCGTCCAGCCCGTCGAGCTCCCGAAGACTCAGAGGATCCAGTGGTGCGGGCCCAGCAAAGCCGCTGCTGCGCTTTGGCAGGCGAAGGGGAACTGTCCCGTGCCTGTGCAGCCCTTGTGGCGCCACCTTTACTGAACCACAATGCCGACACTGTGACCAAGCTGCGAAGCAAGCACCCCCAGGCTGCCCCGGCACGGCCTGCTTTGGTGCCTTTAGGGCCACCAAGCACCGCTGACGTCCCGGACATCACTGCCGAGCAGATCCGACGAGCCATTCAGGGCTGGAGCCGCTCCAGCGCAGCGGGTCCCACTGGCTTGCGAGGGGACCACCTCAAAGAAGCTCTGGCCACTGCCCATGCTGATGAGGTGCTAGTTCACCTGACCGGTGTCGTGCAGCTTCTGGTGCGGGGGGACGCGCCAGCAGACTTGGCCCAGCACCTGGCTGGGGCCACTCTGCACGCCCTCCCCAAAGGGCAGGATGATGTGAGGCCCATCACCGTGGGTGAAACATTGCGGCGGCTGGCATCCAAGTGTTTATGCCAGGCAATGAGGGACTCTGCTCAGGACCTGCTCGCCCCCCTCCAAGTTGGGGTTGCAGTGCCCTTGGGCGGAGAGGCCGCCGTGCACACGGCCAGGCAGTGGATGTACCGTCGAGGAGGACATGCCACCGACGTCTTCTTGAAGGTGGATTTCCACAACGCGTTCAACACAGTTGACCGGGCGGCCCTCCTTCTACAAGTTCGGCTGCACTTGCCTGGGCTGGCGCCCTGGGCGGAATGGTGCTACAGCCGCCACAGTCGCCTCCTGTTTCACGGGGATGTTTTCACTTCTGAAGCAGGGGTGCAGCAAGGGGACCCTCTGGGTCCTTTGCTTTTCGCCTTGGCGCTGCAGCCGGCCATGCAAGCAGCAAAGGCAGGGCCGTTGAACCAATCGCCCCACCTCATTTTTGCATATTTGGACGATGTCTGCTTAGCAGGTGACTACAGGGCAGTAGCAGCCAGCTTTGCCCGTCTGGCGGCAGCCGCCCGCCAGGTTGGGCTCCACATCAACCTCGCCAAGAGTGAACTGATCCCATGTGGTGGGCCTGACTCGGCCATCGATCGAGGAGTCTTCCCGCCTGGTATTGCGATCAACCCCACCACCTGCTTCACGTTGCTGGGGGCGCCAATTGGTGGTGTGGCTTTTTGCGAACAGCAGACTGTGGCTCAGCGCGTCGACAAGGCCCGCCCGCTCCTGGATGTCATCGCGGAGTTGCCGGAGCCCCAAACCGGGCTCTTGCTGCTGCGCCATTGCGCGTCCTTTTGCAAAGTGGTGTATGCCACCCGGGTTACCCCGTCAACTTGCCTGGGCTCTGCCATGGAGACCTTTGACACTGCTGTGAGACATTGCTTGGAAGCTGTGTGCACTGGGCCATTGTCTGCAGAGGCTTGGCTTCAAGCCTCCTTGGCAACTACTGCAGGGGGGCTTGGGCTGCGCCACGCCTGCATCCATGCTCCGGCGGGATATGCTTCCAGTGTCCTTGCCACCCAGCCGCTTTGCCAGCAGTTAGATCCCGATTACCTTCCAAGCAGTGCAGAAGGAGCAATCCAGGCCGTGAACCGGCTGCTTCCTGCGGGCGATCAGATCCCTGTCCCGGCGCCGCCTCCCCTTCGACAACGTCAGTTGTCCCAGGCTCTGGACAAGGTTCTGATTTCTCGTTTAACCGCAGCTGGCCCTGGTCGGGAGGCCTTCCGAGCACATTTCCAGCTGCTGCAGCAGCCCGGTGCTGGGGCGTGGTTGCATGCGCCGCCGTCGCCTGCCCTTGGATTGCATGTGGCTGGGCCGCTCTTCAAGATTATGGTCCGCTTGCGGCTGCGGCTCCAGGTGGCTTTGGGTGACGCCCCCTGCCCTATGTGCGACGGAGTGGCGGACAGCTACGGCGACCATGCCAGGGTTTGCCCGTGTGGTGGCGACCGCACAAAGCGCCACCATAGCCTGCGGACGCTGGTCGCTGCCCGATCGCAGGCAGCTGGGTTCCACACCGAAGTCGAAAAACCTGGTCTTCTCCCACCCCGCCCAGAAGACGGAGGTGCTCCTGAAGATGGTGGTCGTGCTGGCCCGGGGAGGCGCCCCGCGGATGTGTGGATTGGCAATTGGGGGCTGCTTGGACCTGCTGCCTTGGACCTCGCCGTGACCTCAGGCATGCGGCTGGGGTCCCTGGCCCAAACAGCCGCCAACGGCCAACATGCTGTGGCTGAGTACGAAGTCAAAAAGTGCTCACACCAGAACACACTGGCCAGCTGCGGGGCAGAAGGCTTGCAGTTCTTGCCTATTGTCGCTGAAGCTTGTGGCGGGGGCTGGGGCCCTATTGCCTTGCAAACCTTCAAAGCCATTGCCACGGCTGTGGCGGCTCGGAGCAATGAGCCTGCCGGCGTCGAGTACGACCGCTTGCTTCAGTGCCTTTCCGTGGCTTTGCAGAGGGAGAACGCCAGGGCTGTCCTCCGAAGAGTGCCTGGCTAGCGCGCTCCTGGTGCATCTTCATGCCGGTCGACCTCCCTATGGCTACAGGCAACTCAGTTCCCTACGTTCCTGAGCGTGGCTTTTGTTGCGGCACCACTCTTTGACCTCACGGATTTTCCTTTCCCTTTTGAATCTGCTTCACGGCTTCTGCGGCTGCATTTGCCCGACTGAATTCGCTGGGTACCTGACCCCAGCTGTTGGTCGCAATGCAATGTAGCCTCATGGGGTGTTTGGTGCTTGTGTGGGACACGCTGCCTTGCTTGAAGCATGAGCACGCCGTCTGGTCTTTTTGAATTTCATACAGCCATGTTATACTATGTTCCTTTTTTGTCTGTTTGTTGGTTTAAATTTCGTCACTTGGGATCATCATTCCATTGTTTAACGGGTTAAACACAACAAGATTCGAAACCACCAAACAAAGTTTTCGATGATAACCCCATGTCGCAAAACATGGCATTGGGATAATTTTTGGCTCAAAACAACTGCGGACATGGGAGATCACATGGGACATGGGTATATATGTGGACAAAAAAACAATAGTATACCTAATACATCCTAATACTGAAATTCAATGAAATTCAAATAAAAACAAAGAAAAACTTAAAACACAACATAAAATTTGGGCATCAGTGATTCTGACTGATTTTGAGGAAAACGTTGATTCATACAGTAAATAAATGTAAATAATATGTATATAAATATGTTGATTTGAGATGATTTGAGATGATTTGGGCAATTTTCCAAAACTGAACGTAAACACTTTCGTACTCACAGCCTAACTTCTCCAGCGTGCATTTGTTGCACCGCCCTGCCCCCCCCCCCCCCAGCGAGAGAAGTCGCATCCAAATGATCCAAAATGAAGGGCCTCCAAATTTCAAAATGTGTTCTTGGGAGCACACTAAAAACGCGCAAAAAACATGTGAAATCCCTGTGAACCATGATCAATACATATACCACCATGTAATATCGAACCGTTGTTTACAATGTTTATATATGTTTATATAAGTGTTTTATGCAAAAAATATCATTAATTCATGTGAACGTGCTGCTTCTAAGGTCCAAACATGTCCCAACTTCAGGACCCAACCCGCTGGAAAAGTTGATCATTTCACTCAGATGCGCGTTGTCAAAAGCTCTGTCCGTTGCACACTGCTACCCTGGCGGACGGGTCTGTGGCTGAGACACAAAAGATATCAAAAGTTTCGAAACAAAACAATGCCCTTTAGTAATCGAACCTGGCTGTGGGAATCCAAGTGTTTCGTGGGAATAGATTGAGGTCACCGGTAAAATGTGTTTGGCAATCTCTGCTCTCAGATCAGATTTCCAATGATTTCCAAATGTTTGTAGCATTTTCTAACCTGGACTCGCATCCGACAAAATCCGCCCGATGTTGCAAAACATTGCAAAACTAGGCATTTCTTGGCTCCATCGGGAGTCCCGACATGACCTCTCCAGCCCACGAGTTGCCAATTGCCACTTCTTTTTTGCACCGCAGCCACTGGTTTCTGAGATTTAGGTCCATGGTTAATGTCAAAATATTCTTCGAACTCACCATTTGAATCCATTTCAGTCTTCAAGCTCTGTTCTTTGCAGCAGATTCACTCAACAAATCTCAAAAAGTCTTCGTAAGAAACACGCAGATCATATGGGTATATCATAGTTCATCCCAGTTCCATGGATCCAAATCCGGCTTCTGTACTGTCTAGCTGCCGCCATTTAGCCCGGCTGCCAGCAACTTACTTCAGCTTCTTCTTGGGGCGGAGCTGATTGGAATGTCCGCACTTCTTCTTGCGGCAGTTCACTGCGCGCGCGTGCAGCCGAGCATAGCACTTGCGGCAAATCATCTTCTCACAATTGAACCTGGGGCCGCGGCTCAGATTCCATGAAGCAAAGTTTCTTCCCCCAAATCTGTGGAATGCCATCACTGGGCCATCACTCTAAAGGGGTCTGGTATTTGCATACCAAACCCATGCCATCCGGTACACACGTCACACGTCCCAAAGAATTTTGGGTCAGTTTGGGATACAGGGGGCCACAGCCAGATTCGTGCCAGATTCTTGGCATATCTCTTGGATTGTCTTAGTATGATCATTGATCATCCATTTTTGATCATTTTTGGGTAATTACCCATGGCTATCCCCCAAAACCAGCTGGCCCCAGCGGCTTTCGCGCCAGCACCGCCAGTGAGGGTTCAATGACACCGCCGCGGAGACGCAACACCAGGTGGAGGGTGGACTCCTCGACCGCCGAGACGGGTGGGACATGGTGGGACACTGAGGGCTCCCGGGCTCCCCTGGATGAAGCGCTTGATGGTGCTGGAAGATTTACCAACATTGTTTTACCGCCAAAACATGAGCACCTCTCTTAGTCAGCCTTAGTCTTAGTCACCATGTTTGTTTGATGTTTTTTGTTTCCTCAGTACATGGAGCATATGGGATGTTGAAGCAAAGAGATCCAACAACAAAACACAACAATTGAAAACTGCCAGCATCGCCAGCAAATTCTTCTCCTTCTGGATGTTGTAATCGCTGAGAGTTCGCCCATCCTCCAGCTGTTTGCCAGCGAAGATCAAGCGTTGCTGGTCCGGAGGGATACCTGTGCCAAACACGTGGCCAGTGGCCAACCGGCATATCCTTCATCATCCTTCCATAGTTGCGGAATCCATCTGAGTGACGTTAGCTGAACTAAACGGACTCCAATCAATATCATTTGAGTTCATAAAATCAACCAAACGCTTCACTAAATCTGTCACAGGAAACCCGACCCCAGACACATTCCACACACGTTCCTTGGCACCTTCCTTGTCTTGAATCTTGGCCTTCACGTTGTCGATGGTATCCGATGCCTCCACATCCTCAGATTTTGTGCAAACATATGTTATACACTCTCTAAATCTTGCGCACAATGATCTACAAACACACACACACACATATATATATATGTATACAGTTATTTGCATTTTTTTTAAAAAAATATCTTGACTATCTCTCTCTATATATATTTATAATATATTCACATATATATATATATATATGTGTGTGTACAGTATGTCATGAACGTCATACATGATAATCTATGGGAATCTAGTAATTAGCAATCTATGAATTGTTCTTATTATCATGTCTCATCTATATTCATAGATGACAATGAACATTGTTCATATGAGAGCACCTCTATAGGCCAAGTGGATCCAGTTGGCCATAGCTGGCCCTTCCCTGGTGAAACGTGTTGGATTTCTATGGGCAAAATATGATCACTATGAGTCACTATGGGGAACAATTATATAAATTATGTTCAATTATATTTGGGTAAATTATAATATTTCACTAACCTGAAATAAGGCCATTTTGGGATGATTTCCCTTATTAACTATGATTCCAGTGAGGGAGAACAGTGAGGTCGTTATAATTTACCCAGATTATATGGATGATGGGATTCATGAATTACTCAAGTCCTAGGATCTAAGGAATCTAAGGCCCAAACAAACCACAAACCTGTGTCTGGATCGCCTTTCAGATCCTTTCAGAAAGGCGTTGAATATGATTGAATATGCCTCACTACAACACCTGCTGAAGACTGTTGGGCAAACATTTCAAGTAGATTCAAGTAGTACCTTCGCGAGGAAATTTCGAATTTCGACCTGGGGATCCACATGCAACAAGTCTCCAAAGTGATGGTCTTGCCCGTCAACGTCTTGACAAAAATCTGCATCTTCCAAAGTCACCGGACGGCCGCGTGCCCAGAGTTGAGACAGCTTCTCCCTTGAGCCAAACACGACATCATACGACATCCATGGCAAACAAGAAAAACCTGGAATTGAAAAGTGAACCTTCTTGGACTTTCGGATAGCTGCATCAATCTGCATCATTTCATCCAGATTTCTACCAGGCAATGAACCTTTAGACCATGCCATGTTGGACGCCGCGTTGGACAATTATTCGTGACTCATCAAATGTTGTTCCGCTTAAGATTGAACCTGACAATATGTGTTCCTGACAACATGTGGTCTCGGATGTAAATGTGTTTCATGACATGTTTTGTTTTATGGTAAATTGAAATCGATCTGGTGGAGATGTCTGGCATTGTCTGGCTATATGTAATGCTCTATGTTTATATTTATATAGCTATAATAAATCAAGTAGGTCATCAGAGATCCAGTTCTATACACACACCTGCGCCCTGGATCTCCCTCAAAAAGCATCTCCTACCATTTCGACCATCACAGGTCCAGATAAACCCGGCCTCTGTTTCCCTCGGCAAACAAAAGGCCCTGCGTGGCTCGGACCGTAGGACTGCACTCGGCATGCGAAAAATTGTGGTTTTCTGGCGGTTTTAACCCATCTGAAAAAAAACAAAAAAAACAAACATAGACACGTGGGAATTATCATCCCAAACAGCTCTGAAAACGAAGACTTACCATAGGTGAAGCATGGTGAAGCGTCATAGCCAGACTCCGAGTCACAGTTGGTGATTTTTGATGTATCAATCAATGGCTTCAGATTGAGGAGCGATGAACTATCCCCAGCTTGCTGAATTTTACAATTTCTGGGTACCATGAACCAGTCCCCAAACGATAACACAACTTGGCCACAATACTCCTCTTGCCGTTGCTACAGCCGATTTTTAATCTCATCATCCCAGTGTACCACATGACACCACGGCGCAAGACGGCTGTGCAGTGGATGCTGCGACTTTTCCATCGACCGCACTGGTCGTTCCTTCCCCGGTTGTCATCGCTGGTCGCACGGGGGCTTCGGATGACGCCTCACGGCTTAACACATCTCGAAGCCAAAAATAGGGGTGTCCACATCAGGCCAACAAAACGGGTACCAGGAAAGAGGCCTCTATATATATATAGAGTTATATATATATATATAGTCATATATATATATATATTCATGTGTATATACTATTTGAATCTGGGAAAGGTTTGGGCCAGTTTGGGGTCAGTCATGTCAAAGTTTTCGAAAGAAAACCTGGCAAGGAAGCCCTCTTTCAGCGGGTCATTTTCACTGGGATGATGGAATCTTGGGGCTGCTGCCTCAGTTTGACCCAGTTCCATCTCAACAATTCAATCACGATTCACATGAGGGAGAATCAAGAGGTATCTTAAGAGGTATACCTCGACGTCACCTTCCTGATCTTCCTGATTTGGACATGCCCGGTCAAGATTGGCGTCCCTTCAGGACTGTGAAACTGCACTGACCAGCAGGTTCTGAGCATCTCAGAGCATCTCAGGTCATCTTTCCACAGAAAGAATGGCTTATGACAATTGGTTTCAAAATCAAAAAGTGTACCCTCTGGTAAACTAACATACAGTAGCTATGGAAAATCACCATTTTTAATGGGAAAACTCACTATAAATGGCCATGTTCAATAGGGTAATTAACAAAGTGCAACCGAGTAAGTTATGTAAATACTGGATAGCAAATGATAGCAAAATAGCAGGAATGCTGTGACACTCCAAGGTGTATCTTATTCACATGATAGCTCGAGGGATCCAATGGCTGATATCGGCCACCGGAAGTTGAGAATCAACGCGCTCCTTCCAAGTGGCTGCGGGTCATTTTGGATCTACATACCCGTCCACACACATGATATACAGGATTCCAGGATAGAGAGAGAGAGAGAGATCATCATATATTCGCAAATGGTGCGCTCCATTGACCTACCCTTGCAATGGAACATCCCAAGTTTCCATAGAGGTTTTTGTCCTCTGAGAAAATAGGGGAAGTGTCCGTTACCAGCTCAAATTAAAAAGGGCAGTCTCACTTGTTTATTGTATGAGCCCCACGTAGAACCTTGATGGTAAAACATGGTAAACTATGGTAACACTTCCATGTTTCTTTCAACAAATTGGCTTGCGATGGGTTGCGATAGGTGCATCACTCCAACAACAGTCACCATTTCTAACCCTTGCTGCAAGGTGGTGCTGAAAATATTCAGCGAGGTCTTTGAAGGTTAAGTTGGATTGATGGTATAGACATATCTAACCAGTTGGGTTAAAACAACAAACTAATTTAATTAACATAACAGGGTGGGGGGTAGGAACCTCCATGTGTCAGCTGTTGGAACATCAACATCCAAGCTGGCATCATTTCACCATGGTCTTCAAGACCTTTTGTTGAATCACGAAGCTCAAATCCTGCAGGTCGACAAAGTTTCTGCACCTTCAAACGGAGCCTGCCGAGACCTTCAACTTAGCAGGGTGCGTTTGTTGTTTTTCTTGCGCGGGGATGAAGAACTGGAGGATATTGATGGCTATGAGTGTTTCAACCAACAAACATTGGGATGTAAAGGGGTAACAACACAAACACACAACTATTCACACCACAAACACTGAAGCCGGTGATGTACAAACCACACATTTGGAACATTGTGGCTTGTGCATATGCAATCCCAACATGCGTTGGTGTTTTAAAAACTTTATTAAAGTGTTGTGGGTATCTTAAGGGGGCAAGCTATCAGAGCTATCATTTACCCTATGTTTCTCCAAGGGGGGGAAAATCTTGAAACAAATAGCAAATAACATATAGACGTATGCAAATATGCGTGTAAATGTTATATCTGTATGTATGTCATATTGAAACTGTACATGTGCTACATGTATGTCATAAACATCTAATTATGCTGTATAACCAGCCATGCCCAAGAAGGACGGTTTCAGCAATCATGAAGCCACGCAGCTTCAGAAATTCCGTTGCTGAATGTTCTGTTCCAACCTAATTACCATCCAAAAAAAGAACAGGACCATTGGCAAACATGCCACATTCATCCACATTCCACATTGCCTGGGAAACAAGTTCATCTTCAATCATTGCTATGCAAACCCTATTCCGGTTGTTACCCGTAGCCAAATGACCAAAACATCGCATCCCCGTGAGGTTTTGGCAAAGTGCACCGCATCGTTGAACACGACTAGCGCACAAGGCTCAACTCATGAAGCGCAAGACCTTCTACACTGCAAAGTGGTGCGGGGCACGTTTGGCTGGGCTGCCAGTCATGCAATAGTGATTACTAGTGATTACTAGTGATTACTAGTGATTACTAGTGCATAATATCCAACCAAGGCCATCAAATAGACCTGGCTGATTTCCTTAATTTCAAACGAGTCACTAGGGATCATCTCAGGTAGGATTGTGGCAAACCGGGCCCTTCACATTGGCGATCTTCGGTAGTCTGACATAGCTATGGAACATTGCTGGCTGACTGATGATTTAAAATATTCAGCTATGAAAATATGGGTATGGGTCAATACCTATAGATACATTTTTAGTGGGATGAACATCCATTTACCAGCTATTTTGGGGTTCACCAGGGGTACAGGGTTTTGACCCATCCCCATATGATGATTTGCCATAGCTATGTTAACTTGCCCTATGTTGTGTTTACATGGTTCAAACGAAAGGGATCGAAAGGGTCATGCGCATAACACTCTGATTCACCAGCCCCACCACTCGGATACTGAATTTCCATGGCTCTGTGGAAGTCCATTGAGATCACCGGTGTATCTGAAAATGGCTTATACCCAACGAAAATGGTTATCTAGTGAGAAATTGATGGGAAAATGATAGGACCTGATAGGACAAAACACATTTTCACAGAAACAAATTTCTTTCCTAGAATATTAAATCTGTTTCCACACAAAGAGTCGACGTCCAGTCAGGCACGGCTTGACACTGCGCAGCGCTATGGCCGCTATGGCGGGAGGGTCTTGCCCAAAAGGCGTTCCTGGCAGAACAATTTCGTAGTGAAATCTACCAAACTCTATCTTTGGCGGGCATGTTTAAAACGTAGCCATGATAGTTTCATGCAAATCAGTTGGGTCCGTGTCCTTGGTTTCTCTACGGCAACTTACATCTTTACTGTACTATGTTGAGACAAAAACATGGCACATGTCTGTGACCAAGATGATTTATTGACGCATGGCATGATGCCATGCGGCCTGTATTGTCATCCTAGGCCGTCTCTGCGTTTGCGCGTTTTTTTGAGGGGGGACACCAGATTAAATTATGTCCTTTGGATGGTGCAAGTTATGGTGGGTACAGTACTTAGTACATTTTACTCCTATCAAATCACACAAATCAAGTTTTGTTAACCCAACGATCGATTGGATACCCTCCGGCAGTCCAACTTGCCAATAAACAAATGCATAGGCTACTGAAATATGTTGCCTTTCAAAACGGTTTCTTTCCAGCCATAATAATTGATTGCAGGGTACAACGGTGAATTTTGTGATAGAAAATCTCCATTTTCCATGGGGATTTCATGACTGAAATCCCCAGCTCTGAACTATGGAGATCATCCCAGGTAAGGGATAATATCTGGTTGGCGGTATACCAACCCCGCTGAAAAATGATGGAGTCCGTCTGTTGGGATCATGAATTTCCAAATATGATTGGAAAAATAAAAGCCATGTTCCAAACCACCAAGCAGATATAGTCTATAGAGTATTACATGGTATTAGTAAGGCTGGAGAAACCAATAGAAACCAATAATACAGTATTAAACTCAGTATTACAAATCAAACACAAGTCATGAAAACCCATCCCATTCCAAGAGATTCCGATGAACCCTTGGCACGCCTGGGCCTGCACCTCTGTGCGTGGACTCCTGAATGGCCGGTACGAATTGCATGGAGATGAATGTTTGTGCTTACGCAGAATCTAATCATAGGATCACATCAATTACTTTACTTCGAGTGATCCCCACCATGACATTTATCGATCTGTTACTGGCAAATCTTCTGGCATTCTATCTGACATATC